AATTAACCTAGGAACTTCGAGGGACACTCTAGCGCGATTAGACCTCGCCCAAACCCGCGGGTAGACGGGTTGGACCCGACCCGTACCCTTTCTTGGCGGGTTTTAGGTCGAGGGTATAGACCCGAAGGTCGGGTACGGGTTAAGATATTAAATCCGCGGGTTACCCGGGGGTTACCTACGGGTTGATAAACAATGTAAATATGAAGAACCTCGTGATATATATATATTATGCATTTCTGGGCTGTATTTATAGGTATCTAGCTTATAGGTAGTGGATTCTTACAGAAATAAGGTCGAGGATAACTATGAATATCTTTAATTCTAGAACTAAACTAATAAACTATGAACTGATCATTATTATACCGCGAACGCTTCCTAGATCTTCCTAAGACACGCTATTATATCTCCGGTAAAGGAATATCTTCCTCCTCGTTACTATCTCTATGGCCTTTAGTGTCTCGTTTAGATGTAACTCTCTTTCTTCTCTTTCTAAGAGCACGTTTCGAGGGACCTTACGTTGCTAATTACGCTTAAATAAGGACTAAACCCTCCTATACATCGTCCTTATCACTCTCCTTATTATCACTAATCGGGTCGATAGTACCCTCGAGTTATTAGGTATCTTTCTCTTTATAATCCGCTTCTATCTCCCCTTTAGAAAGATACTCCCTCCGAAAAGTAATTCCATCCTCTTCGACTTTAAATTACGTCGTATACCTATATAATATAAGCTCCTAAATTATTATAGTATTTAGTAAGCCTCGACGATAGTAACAGACATCCCGAGTAGTGTTAAATAGCCGCTTAACGCCGGCGCTAGTTATAGGAATCGAGAGTATATCGCGTACGAGCTTTATAAGCGTAGGGAATATAGTCTAGTTCTCCTTCTAGAACGCCCGTATTAGAATACTAGAAACGGTAGCTAAGATTTATTTATTAGTATAGGTCCGGTGATTAATAGAATAAGGATACTTACTACTATCGAGATATCTTATAAGCTCGTCCTACTAGCTAGCTTAGATAATCTAATCTAGGCTAATTATCCGATTAAGATCTATATATATACTCTATATAGTAGATCTTTTACCGTTCCCTATTTATTCTTCTAATAGACGTTACTTATATAGTTTAAAGTAGTCTATAAAGCTTTATCGATATCTAGTGAGTCACTTAGGGCCCTAATCTTTACTCCGGAAGAACTAAAGCTTATATTATAGTGCGAGCATTATACTAATAGTAAAGATATTACTAGGAATCTCATCCGTCTTACTATAGTACTACCTAAGCTTTTCCTCCGCCGTACGAAGAGCGGTAAGTATAAGCTTCTTCTAGCCTATCTTCTTACTTATAAGCTACTTAATCGACTTCTTAAGATAATCGAAGAGCTTATTATAGATAGTAAAGATAAGATAGATAGTGATATCTTTAGTTTTCGATAGCGTAGTAGTAAACTAGAAGAACGGCCGCGTAATCTAAAGTAAATAGTTAATCTAACGCTATTACTCCTAGTTAAGCTTAAGATATAGATAGCCGTACTTCGAGTAAAACTTATCTAAGACGGATTATAGTCGTTTAGCACGGCGAAGCATTAGAAATGTCGAATTCTACCGCGTACGAATATCCTATATCGGAATAAGAGCTATAGAATCTATCTAGAGGCGGCAGAAAGCTTTACGGCGCTATAGGCTTACGTTAATAAAGATAGCTAAGCTTCGAAGCTATAAAAATAGATTAGAAATAAGTTTTAATAAGTCTAATAGTAACGAACCTTATTTAAAGTGTTAATGACCTCCCGTTTCTAATACCTAGACCGAATTAATTAGTCCTAGGATTTAGTCTATTATATTTAAGTAGTGTCGTTTATTAGATTTACCTTTATCTAACCTAGGAGTTACTTTAAGCTTAGTTAAATAATATAGGTAATATATAGAACGCGAATAATCTCTATATTATCGCTAAGATTAAGGGACTAGATAGTCTCTTAGATACTCGCTAATAAAGTGTTATTATTTAATATATTATCGATAGTAAATATAAGTACTCGATCGGTTAAATTATACTTCTATAGTAGCTAGAATAGAATAGCGCTAAGGTTAATACCTAAGTGTATTCTATAAAGAGGCTTAAATCTAAGAAGTAGCTCCCGATAATTCTAGTCTTTATTAAGGAAGTAGCCTATAACTACTATAAAAACCTACTAAAAAGGAGATATCTAATAGTCGAGGGTAATTAAAATTTTTCTATCCTTAGGGAGCTTCTATAGTATATTCTAATAGCGTTCGAGCACCGTACTTTATAGCCGGCTCCGTACTACCTTTATAGATAGAATATTAAGCTACCTTAGGGTATTTTAGGCTATAGATATTATATCACGGAACCCTAGATACTCTAGAAGCTAGAATAGTAGCCTCGATTTAGTAATAAATCGAAGAAGACTTAATTCCTATTTTTTCTAGCTAAATAGAGTATCGGCTAAAGGGCTCCGCGCCTATAGAAGTAGTCGAAATTAGTATATATCCTTTAGCCTATAGACTAATAGGCTAGCTTACCGCTTATATAAATTACCTAATATTTTAGCTTTTTAGCTTCCTACTATAGCTAGTAGTATATTTCTTTATCGTTAAAGTTCTATTTCTAAGCCCTAGGTAATTAAGGATAGCCTTATAATACTTATATATAACCTTTAGCGCGCTATTACTAGCCCTAGCTACCTAATTAAATTAGTCCTAAACGTCGGAAGAGTATCGCGAGTCCTAGCGTATATACTTCTTCTTTCCGAAGTCCGTTCGTAGCTACTATTATATATAGTCGTTATTTATTATTTTAGAGTAGACTATATATATAGTGATACGATTAGGTCGAACGCTCTCGAGGGAACTAGGCACTAGGGGCGAAGGTGATCCTAATTGAATAAAACTAGAATCGCCTATAGAGCTCGCGATAAAAGGGAAGTTTCGTTAGCTAATCGATAGATTAGGGGTTAAGTCGTCCGATCGGAGGAGTTAAAAGTTATCTAGAAGGTCTATATTATACGAAGATAATACGGAGGTATTAGTGAATTAAGATATCTAGTAATATACTAATTAATAAGCACTTAGCTAAGGATAGTTAGACTTAGAAGACTTACAAAAAAATCTTAACGCGTAAACGTAGATTCTAGGGCCTCGTAATACCCTATTCTTCTAAAGTGAGAAAGATAATATATTAATAAAGGCCTATATAGGTAGATAAAAGCTATTATTATTAGCTTATAGCCTATATATAGGATAGGTAAGCCGCGGGTTACCCGCTAAGAACCTATAAACCCGTAGGTAACCTATTTTCCTTAAATAATTTCGTTCTAAGTCTTTAATTAAGGTAAAATCTATCCACTTTTTCGTAATTAATAACCTAAATAAGATAAAAGAGCACTCGATTAGTTAACGTATAGATTAATAAATATACGCTAATTATTTTGAGACTAAATAATCCCTCGTAAGTCGTAGGATTAAAGAGATATTAGAATTCTATATTATCCTTATAAAAATATACGTACTTCACTCTATAGTTTATAGTATATTTCCGCACTTCTAACGATAGAGTTTTAATCTATATTAGTTTTTAGAACTATAATAATATCATACAGTCGTCAAAGCAAAATATACAATATTACTACTATTAATTAAAAAGAAAACCGGCTAATTTCTTAATCTTTTATAGAGAAAAGAGGGTTTTATTAGTAAGAACCACAGAGGTGACTAGAACAGATATAAATAATAGTATTTTTATTGAGGTTAATCAGCAGTTTTATGCGCCTTAGCATGAACTAATTAGGATATTTATGCTGAAACGGGTTCTTGGCGGGTAACCGCGGGCTACCCGCCAAGAACCCACGGGTCTACGGGTATGGGTTTTGGGTATTGGGTATGAACCCGACCCGCGGGTACGGGTCCTGAAGTTAGACCCAAATCCGACCCAAAGCGAGGTCTACATCTCTCTGTGCTTGAATATGCGCCGCCGCCGTCGAATATCAAAGTCGTTTTTTTGCCACCAAACGTGACGTCAATTTACCAGCCATTAGACCAGGGTATCATCAGAAACCTTAAGCATCATTATCGGAAGAAACGGTTGACATGGATGGTCAATATGGTTGACCGCGGCACGATACTACGCAGAGAATGAGCCTCTTTTACACACTACATTGGATCACCCAGGCCTGGAGGCGTAATTTTCTAGATTAGACTATTCATAGGTGCTTTATCAAGAGCACGCTTATCAGTCCTGGCACTAATGATATGAATACGTCTCAATTTGAGGACCTTCAACTGGGTGATCTATATGCATAAGTCGGCGACCGGCTTCCTGGTACAGAGGTTATGGCATTAGATGAATTTCTAGACCCCCCAGGAGATAATTTCGACGTCGAAGAGCCTGATTTATCTGATATCATTGTTCATTTATCAGAAGAAAATCAAGGTGGTGACTATGCTGATCAGGAGAGCGAGCACGACCAGGACGAATATATAGTTGGACAACCGCCGGATATCCTGTCACGTGTAGAAGCTATCGAATATATGCACAAGCTCTTCAATTTTCTCAGCACCAAGAGGGTATTACCGAGAGAGACCTCCGTGACATAATAAGGATAGAACAGCTTTTTTTCTCTAGTACATATTGATGGAAAGAACCAAAGGAAGTTCGATGACTACTTTAGACCAAAAACGGACTAGTGGTTACTATATTAGTATAAGCTCGATATTAGTGGCTCACTTTCAATAGGCACATCGAAATTCTGTTGCCCGGAGGGCCGTGCCGAAAACACAGTTTACTGTATCTGCTAAGAGAGGGGTATTAATCTATAATAGCAGGTTAGTCTACTAGAAGACTAGCCTACTATCTTAAAAGGGTGACCCTTACACTATTTTAAGTTATCTACTAGGGCCTAGCCTTCTATCACTAGGGTGAACTGTAATAATATACTCCACAAGTCAGGGTAGAGGCCTGTAAATCAAGTAGGAGAAAGGGACCAAGTCAATCGTTCTGAGGCAAGGGATGTTTCTCAAGGAATGTAGAACCCCTTCAACATATCAATTTATATACAGTACCATCGCTCAAATGAGGAAGGAGATGTATCTTTCGTAGGAGAATAGGAGCGGGGTGAACAAAAGGCTTGTGCAAACCTTCCCCAAGGGGCACATCAATCAGACGAGGCTCCCTAGGTCACGATATCCAATCTTGCTGATCCGCGAATTGAGATAACCTCATGTCAACAACGTGCGTGGTTTTCTTGGCGGAAAAATATTCCTTGTTTCCTCATCTTCATATAAACCGTCGCCTTCCAAATCATAACAGCTCATCCAGTAGCTCTTCCAAACAGTTAAAGCTTTTGTATTCCATAAGTGTCCTTTCGCCACCCTTTCCAAATCACTCCAACTACCAATCCATCTCTCCTCAACCAGCAATTCCATCATCATGTCACGAGCACGCTGCTTTAGGGTCGCTCCCACCGTACTCGCTATCTCAGCACTGGTGAGGACAACCCAGGCTCTTAGTTCGCGGTGACATAATGGTCCAGCCTGGATGAAAGATCCCACCTGTCTCCCCAGCTTCCGTACCCTATCAAGTAATGACCGTTCAGGGAAAAACTTGATTTGGGCCGAGTGCCAGGTAATAAATGCGATCATGCCCAAGCAAGCCAGCTCTTCTACGACATTTTGTGACTGGTTTGCCAATAGCCAAGCTTTTCTGATCAGCTCAGCTTGGCGTTCCGCCTCCATCATAGTACCGGGTTGTTGAATTTGTTCTTTCAGAAGAAGGATGAAATCTATGCTGAGGCTTCCTGTCGTAGCCAAGTCACGGAAGCCCATCGGTAAACTATTGATCTCAACCCGTAACACTTCACCAGGCTGTAGACCTGGCTGAGGATATCGAAGATTCAGCAGCCTCATTCTGGCGTCTGGCTCTTGATTCAATGGCTGGTTGCCGTCTTGAACCATTTCAAATCGGAGCCTGGAAGCCATCTCTGTTCCTTCTACCAATCCAGCTGCCTGCATTACATACAGGTCTTCTAAACAAGTCTTTGCAGGCCGATTCCTCAGGCGCATCATCTGAAGGAAACCGAGACAATGAGCCTTAAATTCAGAGGCAGATCCAAATTTGGCCGCACCGTCCATTAGATAGAATGTTGCCAGAATTGTCTCATTTGATGTCCATACAGCTACACTTTCAGCTGAAATTTTGGCTTGTAAACCCTTTAACGCCCGGCTCATGTGCCAGAGGACAGCAACACTAGGTGTATCCATATCTTCCAGGGTAGTGGTTCGGACGCCGTGTGCCCAAACGGCGACAGAGTCAAAAAGCGTTGCGTCGCCGCAAATCATCTGCATCCAGCAGCGCATGGACGGATTGGGACCTTTGCCCCAATGTGTCACGCGAGGGATAAGATAATATGTAACTGTTATATTGGTTAACTTCGATCATTCAGCTGGTAAGTGCCCGGAATAGAGTGCTGCTAAGGATGGTGAGATACAGACACGCCAATGGGCAGTGTGTGAGCGGGGCAACTTCCCGAGGGACCGGACTCACGAAAATCAAGAGTATGAAGTATTTTCAGTCGATGCTCGGTTGGGTATCCTGGTACAAGGCATTCTATTACCGGGCGCAGCAGTACGTTGCCATCGTTGGAACGTGGCACTGAAGTCCTGGATTTTTCTGAAGCAGCGTCCGTTTTTTGATGGTGCTGCTTGCCGTCATCCTTGATTGAACGGCGTATTAGCCGTTGCCTGGACGCTTGTCCAATGTCTGCTTTTGTCGATGGACTCGGTGAAAGATAATGTGGCCTCCTGTCATCAAGGTAAAGGGCCGGTTGTGCTGCTCGGCGTGTGGGGGCGGAGCGGTTCCGGAAATGTTTTCCAATGAAAGCTGACACCGTTTGGCGCTGTGCTTGCGTTGGTCGGGGGTGAGACAGGTCATAGTTGACGAATGCGTGGTGTACGTTCTCAGCCATGGCGGCAAAAAGACGGTATCTAAGGAGATTAACGGGACTTTGTTAAAATCGCTCATCAATGCATCTTTGTGGGGGAGGCAGCGGGTGCGCGGGATCCTGGCCAACGGTTTGACTGGTTTGCACAGAAGATTCTAGTCGGCGGCGCTAGCCTCTATTTGATAAAGCGCTCTCACAACCAATAAAATGACGGGCTAAACGAGCGTAGAACAGAAAAAAAACAGAGGATGATCAAACGGCGACCAACATGGATATGATCAAGGCAGGTAATGTACTGGGGCTTCAAAGCTAATCGCGTGACTGGGAATGGACAGTCTCCCGAGTCGCGTCGCTTACCCAACACGTCTTCTCAAATTCCCGCTTAATCCACACTGGCTGACAGCGCGAGCCGCCTGGTATCGCGCGTCCCTTCTCGCAGAGCTTGCCGTTTCGATTGTGAACATGGATTTCTATCTGGATGATGATGGTGTTGAGGACGGATATGCAGATTTCTACATGTCAGACGTAACCTGCCCATGACTGGCGCCGAGCAACGACTCAGCGGTACTAGGTAAATTACTACAGACCAAGGATTTAAAGAGCTGCTAGGGATATTTGCGCGCCGTGCCAGGTTTGCTTGATGGTGTAATGGCCATCAAAACCCAGCCAATATCGCGTTTTCAAGTACGGATGTAGATGTCTCCGCATCTCCCAACGCAAATCGGGCGTCATGCATTTAAGAATGAGATATCCCTGTCAAAAATTCCAATGGTTGCTTGTCCGCTGTAGGAATGGATGCTATTAAATGTTAGTAGAATTGGTCTAGGGGCCATAACTAATTAGTAACTAGGCTGATAGTCAGCTTGCACGGGGGCCCTCTTATCTCCATGTTAGTCCTTAGGAGAGAGTCTTGTTCTAACTACGCATATAAATACTCTATCCAAGAATCATTATAAAGCCAATAACTTTACGCCCTAAATGTGAGAGTACGGTAAATCCCCACGTGACCGTATCCTATCAACGAGAGGATTACGGAAGATCAAACTCATCAGCGATGAGTCCTGGCACATCAGCGATAGGAAGGACTGGATATATAAGGGAAATCTTTTGCCATCATGTATTTAGTTCTTCGCGATCAATTGCATATTGTTACTTGGTTACTACCTTCAGACTATACTTCATTACGGTTCACTTCAAGATAACCTAACCTATAAGTAGGGGATTTACTTAGTAGCAATACTCAGTGATTGACTTGCTTGGCGCGCACTTCTGGCACGTTCTGTAAGAACCTTAACAGGATCTAATCCGTAGTAAGGCTTTGCGAAGCAACGGTACGATTGAGAGATACTCTTGGAATCCGTAGTTGGAACTAGGTAAGCATTACCCTTGGACGTCTAACTCACAGTGACCAGTCGGCTCCGCGTAACACTGGATTGCTGTTTTAGGCGTTTTTGGGGTGAATTAGCTAGATCTGCTGCTTGGTCGGCTTGATGGTGGCGAAGGCGTTTGAAGCGATATATTTAGCTTATAAAGCACTCTTTCGGCATTAACTGGTACGATACTAGTAGCTGCGAAGCTGCTTTGAACGATCTTCGGCATAAAAGCTTCTATCCTCGCGCCTGGGTAATCAGCGAGGAAGTCAAGCTTATCAATATGATTATAGCTAGTGCGGGCTAAGTTGCTCACGAAACGCCCGTAGGCACGCTTTAGCACTGCAAAGCACCCAACATCAAGCGGTTGTAATAAGTGAGACGAATGTGAAGGCATACAAAGTGGTATAATATCATTTTTGGCACAGATTCGATCGAATTGAGGTGTAAGATAGCTACCTTGCCTGTTAAGGATCAGCAGCAGAAATCGCCTTCGTACACGCGAAGCAGTGTATAGAATAAAGATTTTTTGAAGCCAGCGGAGGCCGATTTCATCAGTAGTCCAGCCATTATTCGACACTTCGTTTCGCTCATCCCTGGAGAGATTTAATTCAAACTAACTAGCGATATAAACCTAGCCTTTGAATATAATGCAAGGCGGCACGAATAGCCGTTAGCTAGACCTCGCTTTGGGTCGGGTTTGGGTCTAACTTCAGGACCCGTACCCGCGGGTCGGGTTTATACCTAATACCTAAAACCCATACCCGTAGACCCGTGGGTTCTTGGCGGGTAGCCCGCGGTTACCCGCCAAGAACCCGTTTCAGCATAAATATCCTAATTAGTTTATGCTAAGGCGCACAAAACTGCTGATTAACCTCAATAAAAATACTGTTATTTACATCTGTTCCAGTCACCTCTGTGGTTCTAACTAACAAAACCCTCTTTTCTCTATGAAAGATTGAGAAATTAGCTGGTTTTCTTCTTAATTAATAGTATTAATATTATATATTTTGCTTTGACGACTGTATAATATTATTGTGGTTTTAAAAACTAATATAGAGCAAAACTCTGTCGTTAGAAGTGCGGAAATATATTATAAACTATAGAGTGAAGTACGTATATTTTTGCAAGGACAATATAGAATTCTAATGTCTCTTTAATCCTACGACTTACGAGGGATTATTCGGTCTCAAAATAATCAGCGTATATTTATTAATCTATACGTTAACTAATCGAGTGCTCTTTTATCTTATTTAGGTTATTAATTACGAAAAAGTGGATAGATTTTATCTTAATTAAAGACTTAGAACGAAATTATTTAAGGAAAACGGGTTACCTACGGGTTACCTACGGGTTTATAGGTTCTTGGCGGGTAACCCGCGGGTTACCTATCCTATATATAGGCTATAAGCCAATAATAATAGCTTTTATCTACCTATATAGGCCTTTGTTAATATATTATCTTTCTCACTTTAGAAGAATAGGGTATTACGAGGCCCTAGAATCTATATCTACGCGTTAAGATTTTTTTGTAAGTCTTCTGAGTCTCTGACTATCCTTAGCTAAGTGCTCGTTAATTAGTATATTACTAGATATCTTAATTCATTAATGCCTCCGTATTATCTTCGTATAATATAGACCTTCTAGATAACTTTTAACTCCTCCGATCGGACGATCTGACCCCTAATCTATCGATTAGCTAACGAAACTTCCCTTTTATCGCGAGCTCTATAGGCGATTCTAGTTTTATTCGATTAGGATCACCTTCGCCCCCGGTGCCTAGTTCCCTCGAGAGCGTTCGACCTAATCGTATCACTATATACGTGGTCTACTCTAAAATAATAAGCGACGACTATATATAATAGTGGCTATAAACGGACTTCGGAAGGAAGAAGCGTATACGCTAGGACTCGCGATACTCTTCCGACGTTTAGGACTACTTTAATTAGGTAGCTAGGGCTAGTGATAGCGCGCTAAAGGTTATATATAAGTATTATAAGACTATCCTTAATCACCTAGGGCTTAGAAATAGAACTTCAACGATAAAGAAACATACTACTAGCTGTAGTAGGAAGCTAAAATACTAAAATATTAGGTAATTTATATAAGCGGTAAGCTAGCCCGTTAGTCTATAGGCTATAGGATATACACTAATTTCGACTACTTCTATAGGCGCGGAGCCCTTTAGTCGATACTCTATTTAGCTAGGAAAAATAGGAATTAAGTCTTCTTCGATTTATTACTAAATCGAGGCTACTATTCTAGCTTCTAGAGCATCTAGGGTTCCGTGATATAATATCTATAGCCTAAAATGCCCTAAGGTAGCTTAATATTCCATCTATAAAGGTAGTACGGAGCCGGCTATAAAGTACGGTGCTCGAACGCTATTAGAATATACTATAGAAGCTCCCTAAGGATGGAAAAATTTTAATTGCCCTCGACTGTTAGATATCTCCTTTCTAGTAGGTATTTATAGTAGTTACGGGCTACTTCCTTAATAAAGACTGGAATTATCGGGAGCTACTTCTTAGATTTAAGCCTCTTTATGGAACACACTTAGGTATTAACCTTAGCGCTGTTCTGTTCTAGCTACTATAGAAGTATAATTTAACCGATCGAGTACTTATATTCACTACCGATAATATATCGAATAATAACACTTTATTAGCGAGTATCTAAGAGACTATCTAGTCCCTTAACCTTAGCGATAATATAGAGATTATTCGCGTTCTATGCATTACCTATGTTATTTAACTAAGCTTGAAGTAACTCCTAGGTTAGATAAAGGCAAATCCAATAAACGACACTGCTTAAATGTAATAGACTGAATCCTAGGACTAATCAATTCGGTCTAGGCATCAGAAATAGGAGGTTATTAACACTTTAAATAAGGTTCGTTACTATTAGACTTATTAAAACTTACTTCTAATCTATTTTTATAGCTTCGAAGCTTAGCTATCTTTATTAACGTAAGCCCATAGCGCCGTAAAGCTTTCTGCCGCCTCTAGACAGATTCTATAGCTCTTGTTCCGATATAGGATATTCGTATACGGTAGAATTCGACATTTCTAATGCTTCGCCGTGCTAAACGACTATAATCCGTCTTAGATAAGTTTTACTCGAAGTACGGCTATCCGTATCTTAAGCTTGACTAGGAGCAATAGCGTTAGATTGACTATTTACTTTGGATTACGCGGCCGTTCTTCTAGTTCACTACTACGCTATCGAAAACTAAAGATGTTACCGTCCATCTTATCTTTGCTATCTATAATAAGCTCTTCGATTATCTTAAGAAGTCGATTAAGTAGCTTATAAGTAAGAAGGTAGGCTAGAAGAAGCTTATGCTTACCGCTCTTCGTGCGGCGGAGGAAAAGCTTAGGTAGTACTATAGTAAGACGGATGAAATTCCTAGTGATATCTTTGCTATTAGTATAATACTCGCACCATAATATAAGCTTTAGTTCTTCCGGAGTAAAGATTAGGGCCCTAAGTAGCTCACTAGATATCGACAAAGCTTTGTGGACTACTTTAAACTATATAAGCAACGTCTGTTAGAAGAATAGATAGGGAACGGTGAAAGATCTGCTACGTAGAGTGTAGGTATAGATCTTAATCGGATGATTAGCCTAGATTAGATTATCTAAGCTAGCTAGCAGGACGAGCTTATAAGATATCTCGATGGTAGTAA